CTCCCCGCGCCGCAGCGGATTCTCTGCGGGAGGGGGAGGGCGCGCCGCGCGCTGCTCACTGGAGCCCCTGCTCACCCACGCCATCCGCGGCTTGTCGGGGTCCTGGGCGCCAGAGGCACTGTGAGAGCTGTGTCGGAATCACCAATCACCCCCAATTGGGGGAGGGGCCGGGCCGCGGCGCGCACCAGTCTTCTCCGCCCAGTCCCCCAACGTCAGGACCACGCATTCTGGGGAAACGGGCAGAAAGGGGCACACGGGCAACGAGCGCGGAGAGTGTGACACAGCGCCTACCTTGCCGCAGCCCACCCCACCAACTCTCTACCCTTGCCCCATGCAACCCATAGCCTGGGTTTTATGGTTAAGTTGACTTGCGTGGCAGCGGGGTCGCGGTCACCTGTTCTAGGAGGCGCACATGCCTGTGGACCGGCGCCCACTGACGCTGACGCCCCTTAGGACCAGAATTTGCAGACACACGGAACCTCCAGGTGCCAGGTATGCAAGTGGTTGAGGAGAAGGCGCTGAGAGGGTATATCTAGGGTCTGATAAAGCAGATCAGGTAGGCTGGGTAATGCCCAGAACCTCTGGGAACCCTAGGCCTGAAAACTCTCCTTCCCGGAAGATCAGGTTTGAGGCCACACAAGGTCAGTCTGCTATATGTGGTCACAAATGGTCACAGGAAATTATATGGAATAATAGGTGTTTTTTGGTAATGAGGACACAGGCAGTCACACTCTTCACACAGCCATATGTGGCACATGAGGTCGCAAAAAGCCCCTCACTGCTACAATGAATAGCCATCTACAGCCACCTATAGCTACAGATGGCCTTCTATTTCCATGTCTGGAATTGAAAGGAGGAAGCCCAGTTACAAATTCTTCCGAAAGAATAAGGGCAGGTATGGTGGTGGATACCTACACCTGGATTTCAAGGTCACCTCCTCTGACACTGTTGTTTGTTCTCAAACATTCATGGCACACCAGACCTCCAGCACCAAGGACAGCGCCCAGGCAGCTCAACCCTGCTACTTTACTCTTTCCCCCCATGGCCCACTACTGACTAAAGTCAGAGGCCAGGAGGAAGAGGACTGAAAGCCAAAGAGCAGAGGTCAGACAGCAGAAGATGGAAGAGCCAGATTCTCTTCAGACCCACCAGGTATGCTCATAGTTTACCAGCTAGGGTATGAGTTTGTGTGTGGGTCCATGTCTATATGTATGAGTGCATGGCACGTCTGTGTCCAGATCTATTTGTATGCAAATATGCAGACATATGCCTCTGAGTCACTGCTACTGTTTACAATAGCACTTTCTATCTTCTTCCTTGTTCACAGGATCTGGACTTCTAGGAGAGCTGCTCCTGCTTGAACCCAGGCACAGTTTGACTGGGACCTCGCTACAACTTCTCACCCTCCAAAAGTGACCAGAGCTCCCTTCAAGAGGATGTCACAAGGGCTGTGTGACATCCAGGGTCCCTCCTAGTTGGTGACATGGCTGTCAAGATCCTCCCACCTCACCCTAGACTGTGCACACCTGGTTGCTGGTGCAGCCCAATGGACTGGACAGGGTGGCCTAGGGAGACGGACAGAGTTTATTCCTGACTTTGGGGCCCAGGTAGCTGATAGAATATTTCTTCCCAGGGCAGGGGGACCAAAAGCTGGGCAGCAAGCCCTAGGCCCAGCTTCCTTATGCAACATTAGCTGCAGGAGTGCACCAGGCCTTCACACTGTTCCTGGCAGCCTCCTCTCCAGAGTGATGTCATGGGACACATTTAGCCTGCCTCTTGTAGGGTGTCGCATCTAGTTACTCTTCCTATAGATGTCTCTGCTACTTGTGAGTACTGTAATTCAAAAACCTGTGCTGGAACTACGACTGACTGCAACTTAACTGAGTATCTTTTCTGTTTCTCTCTGAACCTTCCCTGGAGGGATGGGGAGATGAAGGCCCTGGTACTGGCTATGAGATCTTGGCTAATTCTCCCTCCTCTCTATAGGCCTGCTTCCTCCTCTTGATAAGGTCACTTGCTTAGGTTCCTGAGGTCTCTTTCCCCTGCTATAGGTCTCCATCTATGGACCATCTGAGGGGCTGGGAAGTTGTGGCTTTAAGGTCTCTAGGCTGGCTGGGTATGCATTCAGGAGATCTAGCTGGAAGGAACTCAGGATCCAGGAACTCTGGCCCAGGCCAGAGTGGAGGACATTTTGACACCCCTCTTGGTCATCAAGGTCAGCCACAGTATTGGCTAGCCCTGCTCACTGATACTTCTTCCCAGACCAGAATCTCTGAGAGAGCAGGAAAGCAGAGGGTCCTGATATCTCTTTTTAGCCTTGGTATAGGATCTAGTGGGAGCTCTGGTAGTGTAGTGCCTAAGGTACTTGACTGCTAACCAGAAGGCTGGTGGTTCAAACCCACCAGCCACTCCT